TTCATCAAATCCACCTGGATTTGCAAAAGCCATTCGGTCATGTCCCTCACTGAAGTCTCTCAGATATACTACAATGCCACGGGATAAAAGAAACAACCCTCTATTCGATCAGATAAATTACAGATCGAATGATAAATGTTTTGAATGCTATTGTGTAAGCTTCTGCCAAAACGACATGTTTTAATGCAATGGGTGCTTCCTTGAAAAAAGATGGTAATAAAAAAAATGTACACAGGAGAGCTGTAAAGATGCTTAAAGGTATGAAATGGTTTCAGTAACAGGAACAACTTAACATACTGGGACTTGTTGAGCCTGGAAAGGAAATGACTGATGGAAATGTTTGATAAAAGTTCTTAAAGTCATGAGTCACATAGAAAAGATATAAAGGAAACAACTGTTCCCTGTTTCTTCCACTAAGAGAATGATGGGGGATGAAATGAATTAACAGATGATAGGTTCAAAACAAAGGGAAGCACTTTTCTCCACACTGTATATTTATTCTGTAAAATTAGAGCATATGGCAGATATGGATAATCAACATGGATCTAAACAATGGTAAGCAATTGATCTGATTGATTCTTGGAAGACAAATCCTTTGTGCTATTAAGATACCTCAGCTCATGAACAACACAAGTCTAACATAGCAATGCTCTAGGCAGTAGGGAAAACTTCTACTTTCTTTTAATCCCTGTCTATTATAGGATGGCAGTATGCATGTGTGTGGAGGGGGGTGGTGATGAACAACAAAACAGAAGAACCCAACATCTCTGCTTTACACTTGTCATAATCACAGAAGTCTGAGCAATCCTTTCCAATTTCCAGATCTCAAAAATCAAAACTATACTGGAGGAAATAAAGCCACTCCCTTACGCATAGGTCATCACTGGCTGCAGATGAATGTTTCCATCTCCTCCTTCTACTGATTATCAGAGCTGTCTGGATTTGTCCCCCTGCTGACAGACCACTGGAAACTCAACCATCAGCAGCTGCCACCTCTTCCAAGGAGAGGTGACTGTTGTCATCTGTAGCCTGAAGTCATTTTATAATTTGTTAGACAATACATTTTTGTTGCTGCCTTCTGCCTTCTCTTCCAGTTTTCACCCAGGCCTGTATAATTTCATACAGCAACTACAAATCTGTGTTCATACAGCAACTACAGATTTGCATCACTGTTCCCAAGAAAGACAACTGAGTGGTTGCTACAGTACTAGCTGGCTCTTAGAGACCCATTACCTCATGCCAGCTAGGAAAGGTGTCTAGAGGAGTGCAAGGACATCAATATACACACTCAGATTTTATAACTCATAAATGCAGCACTTAGAAAAAAAAAAAAATGTAATAAAGAACTCTGAGTTAGAGGAAAACGTTAACATTTTAGTCTAAAATAAAATTTTAATTCTCTCATATTAAAAATCATACCCAATACCAAACAGTATTCCACCTAAGAGACCACAATCTTCAGTAAATGCAAACTGAAGATTATAAATAAAATAAGAACTAAATGCTTCCTAACTACCTGCTAGGACCCACAGGAAGCTGACCTCTGCTAGGGCTGGCACTTGCACAGACTGACATACAATTTTGCTTTAGTGATATTGACCCTGTGATCCGCTATGATAGAACAGCATCCTTAAGTAATAACTGTACCTCTGAAATACCTGAAAGTCAAAATTTTCCCTCTGTAATTTTAAGAAATAACAAACACCCTTAACCAGAAATAGTCATGCATATTGTGGCTGGAGTCAGAAGAGAAAATTATTTCACCCAAGAACACCTATCAAGTAATGGCATAAAGAACATATATTAGAGGCAGAGTTAAGAATAAAATAAATAATTAATCTGTCTTAGTAGAAACACAAGTAATAAAACACATTTTGGGGAGGAAGCACATTTTGATACATTTGTTAGGAAACAAAGATCCAGTCAGGCACTTGGTTTTTAAAGAAGTTGTAGAATTGGGCCCTCTGGAAGTGCAACTAAACAAACTACACTTATCACACAGCTCACTAGAAGTTAGGCAGAAGTTTAGACAGAAGCATTCTTGCCATCAGAGATGACAGCTAAGCATGTATGATTTTGTAAACAAAGAAAATATTCTTTTTTATCATTCAGATAATTATTTCCTGCTATCAACATACCACACCAGTACATTTGTTCGGCCTTATTTTCAGCACCCACGGCTACTCACCACTGCTTTATACTTCAAGCGTCTGCTTTTGAAAGAGAAGTTTGGGCAAGGGGCGTTTGCTCAGCAGGAGAAAGCAAGCAGCAGTGGCCAACCCAGCAGGACAGGGCTCAGACTTCTTCGCTGGCAGAGCTTCAGTGACCTCTAATGGACAACTTCCATCAGTGCACCTGCTCTTACAAAAAGCATCAAAGCTACTCCGTACAAACTCACAGCACCAACAACTGCTCGTGTCAGCCTAATGTGAACTTGGCACTAGGAAATATTTAGAGTTATTATTCAAGATGACTGTACCTGTTAGGATACCGCCTTTGTAACTGATAACACCGGTCCATGGGATAACAATCAGCTTCTGGATTCACTAGAAATTCTTCACACACTTGTCCTACTTAATTCCCAATCTCGCATACATGTAGCACTTAAAGTAACAATCAGCTTACAACATCACTTTGACTAACAAGGATAAAATGGCAAAGCACTTAAGGCAAAGCTTTGCTGCCAGAAATTCTTGCCCCTTTAGTGCAGTGACATAAATTAAACATTTGACACAAATGAGAAAATGTGGAAGTTTCTGCATGGTCACAAACACAGTCTTAAGTTTGCTTTAGGAAATCACCATATCCTGGCTTTTGCTTTCATTCCATTATTCTGCCACCTCCTACCCTACCAACCCTCCTCCTTCCTTACAAGTAGTAAATGTTGACATCAGTGTGTATCTCCATTCTGCAGGGCCAGGTCTGATGAAGGAGAGATGCAACATGCTGCTAAGCCAGTAACTTTCAGTTCCTTCTGTGTCGTGACTCAGCATTACACAAAAGAGAAATTTCCAGCCTTCCCACACTGCCTCTGTTACTCTGTACAGAATATAAAGTATATAAAGTGACCTGTTAACTCAGCCCGCTGTTTGAGTGCCCACTATAGGCAGATCTAAAAAGTTGATAGAAATAATCAAATACTGCATGAGTTTCTTGATAGAGATGAACTTAAGCTTTGGTAGAAGATACAATATTGACTGGAAATACTACTAAAAATGTGCGACTTCAGGAACTTACTGGATTAAATCCTAACCACACTGCCATCAGTTTCAAAACACCACCATTATATGGCCAGGATCCACTCATCACTGTTTTATGAAAGTCAAAAAACCGTCACTACTTTGGAACAGATGTTAAAATTCTTTTTTCTGCCACATTTTTTTTGTTTGTTTGTTTCTGCTTGCCATGCTTGCTTATCAAGCAAGCTTGATAAGAATAATAATGATATGCTGTATATATTCTGTAGTATGAAAAAACTATCAGGGACTAAAAGACCTAGCAGCCTCTGACCAGTGCAGTGATAAGAGTGGAAAAGTGTGCTGGGCTCACTATTAGAAAGAAACAATGCACACAAACACCCCAAAGAAGGGGAATGGATTATTCCAAACCACAGCTTGTGAAGAACGATGATCTGCTACCATGAGTTAGAACAGATCTAGAACTGTACCTAGTTCTCAGCTTCCCTTCCCCCCCTCCTCCCCCCTTTTATGGTCTCCCAATGGTTGTGCAGATCATTCTAGCAGTCCATCATTAAAGATCAACAAGGGTTGGCTTGACAGCTGGAACTCCATATGAGGAAACAGGACAGTAAGAATTGTTCTCTTTCCCACCCATCCTTCCATGCCACAGTGCAAATCTTTGTTAAGATATAAACAAACACTGACTCACGAAAAGTTGCGGAGATCAAAGTAGGAGACAAAACTCTCTTTAGGGTAATACTAAAATGGATCTGAAGGTTTACTGAACTTTTTATGATTTCCAATGAATATGCAAATACATTCAAGCCTTCTCAAATAAATATGGCTCTCAAATGCAGTAATTTTTCTTTTTTTTTGTACAAGAGAATGAAATTCTGATCTACCTATATACAAACAGAACATAATTACAAGAAGAATATCTAAGTCAGATTTCTTAATTTTTATTAAATTCAAAAACTGCAGAAAAAAAAAATCACAAGATTCTAGGTACATATAAAAACAAATCAGCTAAAATAGAATTGTTGTCAAGTTAAAACTCACTTTTCCATAATTCTTCCTTCCATGCTATTGCCCACAGTATCATCAGAAATCCTACAAGTGCTTTAGAAATTGATTTTATCTTATCAATATGATAGTAAACCATAAGTTTACTACCTAAAAAAGCAAACTGTTTAGGCACAAGGTGGCAGAAGACATAAGCACAAATATCAACCATGCTTCCTTAATCTGTAAATTGAAATCAAAATGTGCTAAGACTGGCATGGTATTGTATTCAGAATATCAGAGCTTGCTTACTGAAATAAGGAATTAAAAAAATATCTTTTTAAAACGTCTGCAGTTCTTTGCATCTTTTTTCCTTCCACAAAGCAGAGAAACTGCTGCTTAATCAGTGGTACAACTTACTGTTAAGTGTCAGTGTTTCAGCTAGAGTGGCAAAAGTGACAAAATGGGTTCCAGCACCAGAGAATGAGAAGTAGAAAAAGCTGTAGTGTGAAAAAGACTGGTTAATATTTGTGTTGCCAGTGTCATCAATAGCTTTGCAACCACCTGCTAAGGTAACATGACAAGCAGTCACATGCTGTTTGGAGGTATCAGCTGGGCTAGGTCATCCCAAGACAGCAAGCATCAAGGTGAGCAATTAATGTTTGCTGCTCTTCTAACAAGGTCTAGAGGAACTGTCAAACAGAAAGTTAAATAATAAGGAAATTAATACAGAAGCAGTTGTTCCATACCCTAGATTTTACCTTTTACCCATGACTTGATATACTTGCCATTCTAATAACAGGTGCAGTTCCACTGTCATTCATAAATACAAAATTTTATTTGCACTTCATTAGTTTAGAAAGACCACAATGCTTTTCAATACCACAAACATTCAGGACACACCAAGTTATTCAAATATGTAACTACCGATTTACCACAGCTAAACTAAACAGTGCATTTTAATAAAAGATATACCAAAGATATAATTCACAAATTCATTATCAGACAAAAATCTAACACAGTATTTGCTTGATGGGAATAATTTCTACTATTAGGAAAGAAAAACCTCTTTTACCTTAATTTCCCCTCCCCCCAACCCTAGAGATGTCCAGACAAATACACATATATATTCCTTAACACAGGAAAATCTTTTTGTTTTTTTTTTAAAGAATTTGTCTAGGACAGCAGCATTGCTTTTTATACCTTCTTATAGAGTTTTGAATATAATCTTCATTCTTTTATTGAAACTTATTGATTCTTGCAATTAAGTTTATGCTTATGCAGAAAATAGATGCAATTTCAGCGCAATCAAATTTGCACCAGATGTGACGTCTTAGTACAAAAAGGATGGGTTCAGCATTAAACAAAATAAATAAGGCTGCCAAAAATTAAACTTAGCTTTTCAACAAATCCAGTCAGCAGAGGATGCTACAGCCCAAAATGTTTTCACTACATTAAAATGAAACATAATGCTGATTATGGAAGCTTTGTACATAAAGTCCTCTGTTTAAAAAAAAATTGTCTTTAAAATAGTCAGCAAAGCACCATATACTTATCTTCATACCAGAAGAGCTTCTGCCTGCCTGTTTATAATAACAAGAACTATTACAACATTTATGTCAAGAATAGGTATAGATTTAACTTCTCCTTTTTCCTCGACTGGAAGTGTGGTAAATCTCAACCAACTGTACAGTATTTATAACACTGGGGCAATGAATGAAACATCATTGTGAGGGTCAAGGGCAATAATTAAATGTTATATAGTTGAATCCTACAAAGGATTGCATATTTGCATATTTACAAGTTAGTGTGTAGCTCTGACTCGAATAACAAAGTGCAACAAGAAACTGCCAAATGATTGTAGTGCAGAGTAGTACAGATACTTTCTTTATCCTCCCACTCCTATTTTTCCACTCTGTATGGAGTAACAAGTCAACAGCAACGGACATGTGGCCTTGGAGGAGGCAGTTCTGGTGGGATTTCTGGCTCTGGCTGCAGGGACAGGATACTGTTGGACAACTCATTTCTTATAACATCCAGTGGCATCTTAAAGAAAAGAAAACATCGCCTGTAAACAATCATCTGCACAGAACTCAGCATAATTAGATAGTTTCAAGAGGTCACTATCAGCCAAAGCCTCCACACCTAAGGATTTTCAGATCTTATTAATTATCGATCTACATTCAAGCAAGTTGTGCTAACAATGTATTTTCCAATGAAGTCGGGAAACGCTGTCAAAATAAGCCTCACTTTCAAAACGTGACAAAATACAAAAGAACTGCCTGCAAACAAAAGCAGGCAAGTGTATAGTCAGCTGCTGATATGAAGTTATAAGAAACAGGAATCAGCAAATAGAAGCAGATGTCTACCAAGCTAGACAGCAATTCACTGATGCAGGCAGTAGGCTGCAAACTACATCATGCCCCCTACATATCAACTTCACCTGACTGCGTGCACTTACCCCTCCATGTCCTCCTGACAAACACAATCAGAGATTCAGTATTAAGCATGAGCCACTTATGTGGGCAGAAACTATCACCTCAATATTTTACCTTTTTCAGAATGTCATCAACAAGCTTTAGAAATATTTCATCCACATTAAAATTGTCCTTGGCACTTGCTTCGCAGAACCGCATCCCAGTTATTTGCTGTGCAAACTGATGGAAGAAAAAGTAAAATAACTACAAAAACAACAAATATACATTCCTCATTAAATCTTTAATAAGCTTCCCTGAAATCTGTGACTGATCTCTTATGCAATTAATTACCCTGAATCTCTAAGGTACAGCAAACATTGTCAGATACAGCTAATTTTCACTTAGATTTGGTTTAATGGAGAAGCGTTCTGCACTTTTCTAGACCTAAGTTTGAAAAATTAATATCCTCAGTTGACAAGGATTACTCAGATTGCCAAGGAGTAGGAACTTTTCAGAAGAAAAATATTTGTATTTGTCCTGATCAAGAGGGTACATTCTCCTTTCATTTTCCTTACTACTTTTGTGATCAAGAAAAACACGAAAATCCAACAACCGTGAAAGCAAAGTTGAGTTAAAAAATCAAGCAGGACTCTTGCCAATCCTAAGGTAGTACTGAAAGGCCAATATCTGGAAGAAGGATCACAAACACGTCCTAAATGGACATCTCTCTATTTACGACTCAAGTCTTTACTGTATCTCTTTTCATAGTTTACATGCCAAAAAGAGGGATTCACTACACTACTGTGTACTGGGGGGTTGTATAAACAGAAGCAAGCAAACTATGAATTTTGACAAAACATTCCCATTCTCAGTATGCTCCTGAGGTCCAACAGTATGACTAAGAATAGCCAAGGACTCTCAACAGCAATGTCACAGCACTTTTGCTTCCATCTGTAACTTAGAATTTATTTATACCTGTTCTTACCTTCTCTCCCTGCTGTCGAGTAATCTCTCGATCAACTTCACAGTCCAGTTTATTTCCAACTAATAGAAGCTCTGCATCTTCTGAAGCATACTGCAAGTAAAACATTTTAATAAACTAAACCAAAAAAAAAAAATGAGGCTTCATACAATATTAAAAACAAAAAGTAAATTCCTTTACTGAATAATGAAACACATCTACACATTTTAACATGTTAATGTCCTTCCTAAACATTATTTTAAGAATTTTCAACTTAAATTTTTAAACATTATTTTAAAAACTTTATTAAGAACCAGTTGTTCCAGTTCACCTAGGAGTGAACAAAATGACTTATTTCACAGACCAAAATTTCTTCTTTCCCCAGTGCACAGGCAAATGCATAATGTTACAGATTTCCACTGTCACTTCTAACTAGTTCAGTCAAAGGAAACAGGAATGGACAATTATTTTGCAACAGAACACGTAAATGTTAAATTCGTGCTAACAGAATCCCAAGCAAACCAGCAGTTCCAGTTTAATAACCCTGTAATTATGCTGTTAAAAGCACACAATACTTAGTCCTTTTGAGAAAGAATTTATTCTTCCCCCCACCCCACCCCCCCAAAAAAAACAAAACAAAAAAAAAAAAAGCCACCAAAAACCCCCCAAAAAACTTAAGAGAGCCTACCTTATCAATCATTTTCATCCATTTTGGTAAATCATCAAATGTTTCCTTCTTGGTTATATCATACACCAAAATAATTCCCTTGGCACTTCTGTAATAAGCTGAGGTAATGCTGTTGAATCTCTCCTGACCTGCTGTGTCCCTAAGAAGCAGCAGCAAACATTGGCACACACGTTTCATGGATTCACAAAGTATACAATAACTTTGTTTCTATCTTAATAAAGACAGCCTCCCACACCTATTAGATACTTTACATTGAAAATTGAATGTCTGTGTGTATGTCAGGAAAAGAAAAAATGGAGCACTACTTTCAATTACAAAAGTTTTCATATCAGAACTACTTAGCCCATACTAACTTCACCAAGAAAGGCCACCAAATAGGTCTACATGTAGCTGAAAATGAAGCTGTTCAATGGAAATGTACCAGCAGATTAAGCTGGTTTTGTGGTGTATGGTTGTTTCTTTTTTAAACAGCCCTGAAAAAAAAAATAAAAGAAAAAGAAATGGATACATGCTTAGCAAACTAAAACAGCTGGACATCCAACAATAAAATGAGCAATACACTGATTATTATGATTCGAACTTTCAGAGTCTTTTTGGATCAACCACAGAAATTCAACTATGGTTTTTAAGACTAATGCAGAGGCTACTGGCAGAATTCACTTCTAAAGAAGTGATTCCTAAATTAAGTAAACAACCCCTATATAGAACAGCTTTTGAAAGTAGATTATTGCCTTTCACATTTACATCTACTAATCTGAGGTGGTCAAATAGCATTCCTATCCTCACGTTCAATGTTGCAGGCATTTCTATCACAGTGCATTTACACTGGAGATTACTTTCAAGCAATGTCAACTGTATGCCTATACTAGCTATAGCTGATATTCCAAAGCAGATAAGACAAAGCTATTTTTTACTGAGTCTTGTCATGGAAGATTTTTGGCAGTTATACTAATACAACAGCTGGTGTATACCCTAAGTCTTAAAATGTGACTGGTATCAAAAGCAAATATTAAGTTATATGGCACTTCGAAGTAAACCAAAAGATAAGTCAAAAGACTAAATAAAATTCAAAGTGCATGGGAAAAAATGTGTGCCCATGCATATGGACCCTAAAACTCAAAAGGAACTCTATTCAACAGTCACATTTTAGACAAAAAGGATAAGAATAAACTTGGGAATGAGATTAACAATGGATAACTGAAACACTTGTTACCAAAAAGCAAAAAAAATGTTATGTTCACAAAATGCCACATTGATTATCCTGAAGAATCCTTTTTAAGGTTTATGCACAACAAGTAGCAAAATAAACTACAACAAACCTATCGTGCTCTTCACAAAATCTTTAAGGATCTAAACTAAGCAGGCTTTAAAGTAAAGTACTTTCTCCTGAAATAGCCACAAACATACTTGATAGCAACAAATTTTTGGTAGGTGATTTCACAAAGTAAACACTGTCCCCTAGAAAAAGATGTGAGATCTCTATTTCATAACCTGTGGAAAAATACTAACACTTCACTAAGCCAGCAGCATCATGATATGGAACTTGGGGTAGGGAGGTGGAAGAAAACAAATTCCTACTGCATACATTTTTATTTTTATTCATATCCCATTCTCTACTCAAAACTTCAGAAGTGAATTTGCACAAACCCTTGGGACCCTACTGAAGATGAAACAGGTAGACTGTTTCAATGAGATCAAGCTCTAGAAGTATTTCAGACAGTTTTAGATGGTCAATTGGCCGCTTTCTTATCATGAATGAAATGTTTTTTTAATTAAAGCAATACAAGTTCTGGCAGCTGGAGTCACATATGTAAGTATTACTTAAAAGATGCAATTCATTTTCTCTTCCCTTACTTTTTTTTGGTGATGGTTTGGTTTTGTCAGAACCTTTGGAAATTCATTCCATGAAAAATTTAAGAATTCTAGTATGAACCGTTGATTTTCCACATATGGATAGCATTGCTTCTGTGCTTAGAACAGGCTTCTCAAAATTATAACCGTGTAGAGCGGCCTCTGCCGCCTGCTGCTGATCCAGCCTACCGACAAAGTGCATTAGGGATGGGATCTCTTTAGCTCTATCACTGCGCAGACACAACCAGATGGCAGTTGGCAGGGCATACCCCGTATATGGAAGAATGCATCAATTTGAGATGTGGTCTGACTGATGAAAACCACTGCTTTTTTTGCCAGTCAGTCTTCCCTCTTCTCTGTGCCCGTATCAGAGCAGAGAGAGGAGCCATTTCAGAGCTAACTGTGCCTACAGGTCGATGTTAAGGGGTTTTAGCAATTCCACCACAAAGGGGCCCCTTCTGAAGCACCAGATCACACAGTTCAAACGTTAGGAAAATACACAGGGGAAATAAACACACTAACATCCAACTATTCTCTCTAAAGAGACCAACGAACACATGAGGTACACTTATGTGTAAGCACTGGAGTCAACATTACACTCAGCCACTACAGCTTCTTCCGCCCCGCATTTCCCCAAGCCTGCTAAGTGCATTATCACCCAGTCTATCTGGCATTATCAACCTCTCCTCACCTCACAACAACCTCGGGTTCTTAAAATACCCTCAGGTCCTGCACTCCTCTTTGTGTAGATCATTCAAAAACCCCACTACATGTTCAATGAACAGATGGCCACCAATTGTCACCTGCCAGTCACTCTAACCATGGTGAATTATGGCTGACTTTCTCTGCCTTGCTTTGATAATCACAATGTCCACATGCTTTGTGTAACCAGTGCATCCCCTGCTGCAGGAAATTTAAATGAAACCAGACAACAGGTTTCTGATTGTAAGCATGATCTGATAATACCCATTTCCTTCAAAAACTGGAAGAAAATAAGCTGAATTCATGGCCTTTAATATTACAATAACAGTGTATTATACTTCAAGTAGTAAGGAGGAAATTGGAAAATGATCTCTAAAATCAGCAATAATCAGCAACCTCAAACTAGCTAAATAAGCTGCCACTGAGTATCTAGTTGATCTTACATAGCGAAACTTATCTTGCACGAGGAGCTATGATCTATTTTTATAAAAATGTGTGGCAAATTCTTCCAGCAGGAAGGAAAAAAAATAACAAGCCTAAAGTAGAGCTAATGTTAAAAGCATATCCATCAAAAAATGTCTTCCTTTCATGTGCTGTACTGGAGAAATTAAGTTTGTTACACTATTGTCAACGTATTACTCTCCCACAGTGGGAACACTTAAGTGAAGACAGCTCTTGGAAGGACCACTGGAAAGCTGTGAGAGGAGCATTATTTAACTGCACTAACAGTATGCAACTTCATGGATCTCGTATGCAATGCTAATGCTGCTAGTTCCTTATTTCTCTTGCAAGAATCAACATAAAACTATAAGGCAGTTCAACTTCATTCGAACTCCAGAAGTCCAAACAATTAACTACTACCTCATCAATGATTTTGCATCACTGAGAAAATACAACAGATGACTTCTTTTTTTAAATGCTAAAACAAGTTTCCTTTTACTGATTTTTCCAAGAACTTGCTTTAATGGAAAAAGTACTGCTATTTCCAAATGCTAATTATAAACATTCAGCCTATGTCTCCTTCACCAACTACAACCTGCAATTTCCTGCCTCATTAACAGAAACTAGACATCACTCTGAAAATACAGACAAACATTACACCAAACAAATGCAAATTAAAAAACACCACCACCACAACACAAATCCTTTATTCAGGTGTTGACTTGCTGTATTCTCAGACTGTATAATGCACATACAGACTCAAAACTGTCATTGGCTCTGAAGTTAAATTCATTTTTTATGAGTGGTAGAGTGAAGTGGCAATAGGGAGGAAATGTATTTTTAAACAGAAATAAAAAATTTAACAATTGAACATTTGCACTTGCTTTGTGCTTTTATGGTACTTGGAGACATTAAAAAAAAAATTAAGTCATTTTGGGATTAATTCTACTTGTTAAGCTGAGCTTTCCTTCCCATTAAAACAAAACAAAACAAAAAAATCAGTCATTTGCAATTTTTTATTACATGAAACAATTTATGTCAGAGGTACTAACATTTCAGAACTACATTCTGTTACATTTCAGGACAGGTAATGCTTTCCTTACATTACTCCCTGTCTCAATTTCCAGCACTACAGCCTATAGAAAACCTTGGGCTGGCAGCATCACAACTTTTAAAGAGAAAGCAGTTCAAACAACTTTCAGAAGCAAATCCCAGATTTTTTGCCAGGTGCCAGCAGCTTCTTTACCCAAGCAGGGCACCGGGCACAGCAGCAGGGCACCACTGCCTCCAGCAGCTGGGGACCTGCAGACTGGAAGCCTGACCTGGGTGCTTTTTACTTCAGCTAAATGCTGAGATTCTTCAAGTGACAGGGCACAGTCAGATCCCACTGTCCTCCTGATACATTTATGCTCCAAAGCAAGAAAGTGGGATTCCTATCATCTGGTCTGGCTCTGAGACAGCACTAAAGCAGAGATGCTCAGGTACACTCTGATCATCAGGCTAACCGCTCAGTTACTTTACCCACTGCATAACTGCAACAGACACTACAGAATATATGAGCTTGTTTCAGCCAAGAACTGCGACACAGAAGCTGACTTTCAGCCAAGAACTGCGACACAGAAGCTGACCTATTGCATCTACTACTGCCAGCTCAAGGGTCACTGCTACTGCGCTGGGGGGTGAGAGGGTGCGTGGGGAAAATAAATGCTACTGAGCATTCTCAGTGCTGCTCTACTGTGCCATCTTCCAAGGAGCAGAAGGTTGTTTCGTGACTAAAAGTCAAGGAAACAGATTGAAGGTAGCAGTGCTATCCTAACTACGGAAGCCTCTTTGATCCTCAAGCATACAATATCTCACCGCAAAAGCAATACGGAGAAAGTCTGATTTGTATGCTACTCTAATAACAGCAACCAGGTGAGAGATACTTTCAAAAGAAAACATCACTGACTGATACATTCAGTTCTCTGCTGTTTTTTCATAAATAGAATTGGCAGAGGTCTCTGGAAAACACTGCTGGCAGAGCAGTCAGCAAAGACAGAAGTCAAGTCTCCACTGAAAGCCCAGTCTGGTATTGAAAAAAACAGAAACAAATGAACAACCATTCTTGTTTGATTTCTGAAGTAGAATTACCAATGACTGAAAAAAAATAACCAAGCTCGGATGCTTCAAAATGCAACCTTAGCCATTTTCCGGAATCAAACATTTTAGAAATGATTTGTTCCTTTAATTGCTCATTTGTTCAAAATACAGGGTTTTGTAGTAATTACTGTGATCTCTGGAAGACCACCGGGAAGCATGAGGCAATCTTGTCTCAACACCTCCACACAGGTAGAAGTAGGATCAACCACATGACTTAAGTTGGCACTTTAAAACTTTAAGTGGTTGACTTTGTAAATTGCTTTCCTGTTTTCATCTAACAACTGAAGGTATGAAAAGAATAAATAGGCCCAACAACACATACAACAATGCTTCAAAATAAATGAGTGAAAGTGATGGTCATTTAATTGCTTTTCAAAAACTTTACAAGCATGCCATGACAGTTTTCAGTGTAATCCATAAGAACAGCATTTTAACAGCAGTTTTTGAAGAGAGAGTGACACTGGATAGCTGGATATTGTACTCCTTGTTGTTAACATATCTTCTTTATAATGTGTTTTATTCACCGTTTTAGCATGTCTTTGCATAGGATTATTGGTCACATTTTTTTAGCACTTATCAATTTTTAGTTTAAAAAGTTTCCTATGTCCTACGAGCATATTCTCAATATGTGGAAAATAATGGTTTAAGCATCTCTTTTCCAGCTAAACATCTCTTAAAAAGTATTTATTCAACATGAAAAAAGTTGATTGTCAAGCTCAGCATATTTCATAGCAAAATTTTAAGTTAGGCATACGGTAGCATCTCCTTATCAAAAAAACTTCTGTTACCTCTGTCAGCTTCAGCAGACCCTGGCTAGCAACTGCTGGCTCAACTGCCAGCCTTGTGGTCATAGGTTTCCAAGCAGGGACACATGATGGATGAAGACATGCCAATAACATTCAAGTGTTAGGTGACTGATGATACCAAAGATGATGTAGCAGTTAACTCAGAGGGAGGCAAGACAGACATATGGTGTGACAAACAGCTGATGGTGACCTGCCAAGAGGAGTTAGTAAGCTGAATTCACTGCACCCATGTAGTTAAGAATGAGAAATCACCAGATTATCCCAAAAGTGTCTCAGAGTTCAGAGCTCTTTCCCCCCTCTAGAGATTGTTAGCAGCTATATCAGCTTAACTACAATGCCAATTATGCACCAAGCACTGTTAATCAACCAAAGCTAAGCTTCTACATAGTAGTACGTAAGATTAATGCATATTAACATAGCTGGTTTATTCTCTCAAAACAATGTTTATGTATTAGACAAGTCTGCAAAACAAAGGAGCACATAAACTCAATAAGTCCTAAACAATTCAAATTCTATCATTAGCATGGGGAATCGTTATGAGGAAACATGTATCCTACCCTAGAACAGAAAAGCTTAGCTTAGACATCAAGCTTTCTGCAGCAGAACATTATTTCTAGTTAATGTATACTGTCTTGGTTGTATGAGATCATTTTCTGTCTCAGTGCTGTTGTAGGGGGTATAATTTGCTTAGTCTTGAAAGCACTTCACTTTTAAGTAATTTACCACAGTGTCAAGAAAACAGCACAGTCTAATCAAGTTTCAGAAAATAGTTTAGGAAGTATTTTATGGCTGCCTTATAATTGCTTTTGTAGCAAGTCAGTTTAGAACAGTCCAGAATATAAAAATCTAACTATGTCTATTTAACATGGTCACTTTCTTTTGTTTGTTGAACTCCTATTTCTTGTATGGATGATTTCACACTTCCAGAAAAAAGTCCTTGAGATCTCTGTGATGCATTAATATTTCAGTAATTACACTCGTGCACTACTTCTAACCATCTATCTCCTCCTTTATCCTCATGAAAACCTAAGAGCTATTTGGTTTTGCTTAAGTCAGGTGGGAATGGAAGAGAGAAACAAAAGTCTAAGAGCTAAACCAGCTTATAACAGTTAATAGTATTAGACAAGCATATTGATTCATGCTATAACATAAAAATTAAAACATACTGCTGGTTGCACATTTGTTTTACTTACCAGATTTGTAATCTAATTTTCTTTCCTCTTAGCTCTACTGTTTTGATTTTAAAATCAACACCTATAAATAAAATACAGTAAACAGAAAAGTAGAAATAAGAAGCAAAAGTAATGAGGGTGTAAATTATTACTATCATTTTTGGATAGGTTGTTTTTTTTTTTTTTTTTTTTTTAATAAACTTTTAACAGGTTTGCAACAGGCAAGATCATCACACGGATTTGTCTACAGCTATATAGTTTGTGAGCCACCTGATTTGGTATCATCACAACATAAACTTTCCACTTTGTGCAATAGTTCCAGCAGCAGGTGAACCCAACACAACAGTAAAACAACAGGCACGGTTGGTTGTTTCTCCCTTATTCACATTGACTGTTAAGGACAAGCCTGCTCTACTTTCAAATGGCACAGCTGCCTCGGAGGCATGAAGCAAACCCCGTCCCTCCACACCAGTCTGTGAAGTGGAGCAGTACACAACTACACCCAAGCCAGATGCTCAGTGTTTGTAAGGTGCCAGAGTGGAAGTGCTGGAATTGCAGTTGGTTTATGCAGTTTGTCAGCACCATCATTCTTCATTCTGGCAAATGTTTATGAGCAAATTGCTTCAATTTTGAACAACTTTAAAAATTCCTTTTATACCCGTATAGTACTTTCAACCATCATCTCCAAATTTCAACCAGAATTTGAATGCAAGCTAAACAGCAAAGATAGACCCACGAAGACCTTGTTATACAAAAAGACTTCAAGTCCATGAAAATAATGCTGGCAATCAACACAGAGACACAGTATGGCCAAACAATATCTAGACACAAAAGAATACCACCTCAAACACAAAAATATTTTAGGGTACAAGTGTCTTAGGATGATATCACAGTACTCATAAACTGTACACTAAAATGAGCAGGTTAATGTTTGTATAAATCTTTTTGCTTCACTTCTTCCTTCTGAACACCATCCCTTCCGACAGTACTAAATCAAAAAGCAGGGAAATAAAAAGACAAGAGAACATCATTCAGACTGGCACACTTACACCCACACAGAAGTGCAGAAGCATGCTGTGTTGGAAAGACTTTTGCCTTTTCACATACAAGTGGATACCAAGGATAGATACAAAAGTGAACACAAAGAGAAGATTTACATTTCCTCTCACAACAACTAACCATTTCCCTAATGTCTGTCGTTGGTAAAAACCTTGCAACATTCTTAGAATCTATACCAGACTGTAGTTTCGATAGAAGGAACTGAATTTGCCCCTTACATCATCTGCATCAAAGTCTCATGGAACCAAAAGAACATTTCACACTGGAAATCTAGTCTAAATATGTGGAAGGATTATTGACCTTCACTCCCCTCGACAAAAATGCCTTCAAACCAACGGCTCACAGTTGTGCACTGCATAGTGATAAAAGTGCTGGTTATCACCACAACAATCCTGCTTCTCCAGGTCCCAGTCACACCTCAGCAGGGTTCATGGGCAATACAGCAACCAAAGCCACACACGTTGCAGTCTATAATTTTAACAGCAATTTTAAAGTATTCATACGCAAATTGAGAAAAAGTATAAGGATTATTAAAGTTTCAGAACATCTATTCATCTATTTAACAAATACCTTTAGCACTTTTGAAAAAACAGTATCTCTGTTGTTGGTGTAAAAGTCAAAGAAAGTGAAACGGGCATGCTACTGTTCCACTATCCAAAATGTGGGAAATAACAGTTCTTGTCATTGCTACGTCATTAATGTTTTAATGGTTGCTTTAAAACACCATCTGTATCTACTGCTAAATGCCTTTTCTCCAAATAATTACATTTGAAGTATAACATACACTTGCCTTAATGGTCATAACTTGTCTACAACACAATAGCAACTTTATTCACAAAGGAGATCATCAATATCAATATAGTTTCAAATCTCTGCCTTCCTTAGTTTCAATATAATTGTCCCACCACCTCAAGTTTCCAGTCCTACTACTGTATGAATACAACACGCTATATCATTCATTACTCATCTGAGAACTCAGGTTTTAAAAAAAAAAAAAAAAGAAAATCTACCTTGTCCCTCTCACTGAAATATTAATAGAATACATTATGTATGGTGCTGGCACAGGTGGCATGCTGGCTTTGGTTGACCACTGTGCTTGCAGAGGAGTTTGACCTGAGTATGAAGCCAGAGAGAATGCAGCTTCTGCTAAAGAAGTTGTCCTGCTGTCACACAAAAACAAGTCTATATCACCTCTGACCCAAAGCCGTGCATTGCAAACCACATGGGAATTTCATGCAAATTTCACCAAGTCCATTAGCAAAACCTTTTAGTTTTTAAGGAAGGGATTTACATACTGTCATCTCAGAAAACCAAGGAACAAAAAAGTAGGTGTGTTTTATTTTAAATACAAATAATGCACTACAGAGAAAATCCAATTGCTATAATACAGGAAATTTTCAGCTCAGGACTTCTTGTGAACACGAGGCAGACCATATGTTAATGAAATCAAGTGGAAAAATGCCTACAAATTTAAAAGGATTGTTTCAGAATAAATACTACGTCCCTATTATTCTTGGAATCGCAGAATCATTAAGGTTGGAAAAGACCACTAAGCCCATCCAGTTCAGCCATCAGCCATCCCCACCATACCCCCAAACCACGTCCTTCAGTGCCACATCCATATGGTTCTTCAACACCTCCAGGGTTGGTGACCCCCCCCCCCCCCCCCCCCCGGGGCAGCCGGTGCCACGGCCCACTGCTCCTTCGGACAGGATTTTTTTCCTAATATCCAACCTTCTTATTCCAAAGGCAAATTGCTCTGTTAATAATCTCAAAGTCACAGCCTGAAACATTTATTTGCTGTTATACTTTGCAATAAACTATGCAAAATAGTAAGTTTCGGAGAGGTGGATTGTTCTATAAAACACTTTGAATCACCTAACACTTCAATCAGATAGCTTGCCAGAGCTAAAAGATTGCTCAACCAATTTTTATAATTAGTAATGCTCTGCAAGCAACAACACAATTCCGAAAGTTTAGTGTCTGCCAACTGTGGAGGAAAAATACTGGCAACTGTTCTCTTGCAAACGAAGAAACAAATTCCAAAGCCTGTCAGGTTTCATTACTGTGTATCACCACTGACCAGTCAAAGGTTATACTTTGATTTTACATACAAATTAGTAAACCAACATTTCTTTTCCACTTCAATTTCAAACACCACCTTAAGAAAAAGTTCAATGAAATAAATAGCCTGACTAAAGTCAACAAACCAAGTTTTGCCATCCATATAATTTCTCCAGGTAGTAAAAACATGAGGAAAGCCTATCAAGAAGTCTCAGGAAGCAAATTAGGAAGCAAATGCTTCCAACTACCGCAGATAACAAATACTTGTTAGTCACACATGACAAGAGGTAGACAAGTGGATCTATCCATTCACGTAAACTGAGCATGAAGAGCAGTCTTATGTGTTCTTATAGCTATAGTTGCAGAACACTTGATTTGGACCAACTGCTGGAGTCTCCCATTCCAACTCTGAGTTTAACAAACGTGGGCATTTGTTCCATTTGTGTTCAGTCCTGCCAGAGGCTGCTGCAGTCTCGAAGCTGTGTGCTGTTCAGTGCTGTGCCTGAACACGATCCGTGACAGAAAGGCCTGGCGTAACACTCTACCAGCACAGCCATACAGCACATAGCCCAACGATGGCAGACAGTCCCTGCAAAGATGTCAACAACAGTTAATACGAACAAGCCACCCAGGCACCTTCTGTCCCTAATTACACGAACAGCATCCAGTACGTGGCTTTATTCATTCATAGTTCAATAAAACCGAGGAATCAATAATTGCTGTTGACAACTGCATTAAATCTGAACAACACACCTTATAAAAATAAAGGATTGTAAAAGGCTCTTTCCAATGGCAAACCAAGGCTGATTTTCACATGAAATAGTTTGCATTTAAACGACTACTATGATTTTATTGACAGCAAGTTATCAAAAGCACCCAGCAGAGCCAGCAGGTACATGTTTATGGTTACTCTCAAGTGTTGTGTCCTTTGCCAGGACACAGCAACAGGAGGGGAACCAGAAGGCTGGCCACCACCTTCCCTCCCTCCATGGTAATCTTACACATACCACTGGCAAGCCATGCATTCAGTTCTTCCACTATGACTACATTCAGGGCACATGTGAATCCTAGCAGCCTCCTCTGCCTGAATTAAAACTGCTCATTTTGGATGTCAGATTCTGCCACAATTGTTTTTTCTCTGGCACAGCCTTTCTCAGGAATCCTAACACAATCGCACACGTCTTTAAGAGTTAATTAAAAAAAAAGCACACAAACATAGATCCCAAACTCAACTTTGAGTTTATGATTTGGTATCTATGAAGCATTTTGAAATACCCTGATACAGCTTGCTCTACCACCAAACTGCAGGTAAGCCTGCTCCCCCACCCCTAGCTGGAGGGATGTTGAGCAAGGCATTAAGTACAGCAGCAATTATATGGCATGCTGAAGATAATATTATTAATTCAGTACTTCTATAAGTTCTACAAAGCACACTGCTTTTGTTGTGAAAGCGCGAGAGCTTTAGATTAAAAATATACTTCACGCAAACAAGAGCAGCTACTTCAACGTGTACTCAACTGAAACAATAGTTTTCCAGGAAAAATAAAGGGCTACTGGACTACAAGGCAATTAGAGAGGTTTGTTTCCTTTATTTTGAAGAAGTCTATGCAACAAACAGCTAAGCAAACTGTCTGCACTCCTTTCCAAAACAAACAGCCCTAAAAGAAAGGGAACAGGCACTCAAAATAGAAGTGCAGTAATGAAGTTCTAGATAAGGGCAAGTCAGCGTTAGCGACGTATCTTGTCACTGCACTAACCTGGAGGCTGTTCCAGACTGAAAACAAATCCAGTGCAAATGAAGTGTAGCCCAAAATAGGTTATAATATATAAATTACTTTTAACTACTGTTTGCAGGAAGAAATCTACTAAAGCATACATTGAAACACATACAGCTGTGTCTGTTTTCTTTCTGTAAAACAATTTGTCTAGAAATAAAATGCATTGGGAAGAAGCTTCTTA